CAGCCATGCGCTCCTGCAGGTCCCTGAGAGCTGCTTCGGTCATGCGGCTGGGGTCCGAAGACCGGTAGCTCTTGACGACGGGAATCCTGAAACCGCCGTGGATGGTCTGCATCAGCGCGAAAGGAAGGTTGTTGGAAATCGTCCAAGGGGAGGCAAGGTGTTTTTACCGTACCCCTACCATGGAAGGCTGATCTCATAGCACAATCTAACTAACAGAACATGCAAAAAATGATTGACAATATCTGCTCACCATTCCTCCGATGGCGCAAGCAGCGTTCCCCGTTGGAGCCATGAGGATGAACCGCTGCTGTCCCACCAACCTCACCATCTCCCGAATGACAACCGTCTTGCCGGTGCCCGCCGTCCCCGTGAGCAGCAAACGGAGAGGACTCAGAGGCGCCGGCAGGGGGGGCTGTGCGGCCCTGGTGCTGTTGTCTCTGCGGCTCACGCGGACGGCTTCTCGGTAGGAGTCGAGGCTCGCCGCGTGATCTCTCACCAGTGTTACAGCGAGAGCCTGCTTCTCGTTGAGGACTGGTACCGGAAGCACAGCCGCTTCTGTGGAGGCGGGGCCGGCAGCCGCGGCACCAGCAGAGTCCTTCACCCAGGTAGTGGAGTCTTCCCGCACTCCTTGTGCCTGGGCCCAGCCCGCCTGGCCCCATACGACGTTGTTGCCGTCGCGGCCGTCGCTCCACCGCCGATCTAGGTCATCGTCCCCAGCCACCCCCTGCAATCCGTTCCCGTGCAGGCCGTCGAGGTTGGGGGGTTCATCGTCGTTCTCCTTCCTTTCCCCGTCGCCTTCGTGGGGCTCACCTCCGCTACCCTCCCCGCTGCGGCGGCCTCGGCGTCGGCGGTCCGCCTGGAGGTCTCGCGCCGAGAAACCACGCGGTTGTTGTCCCAACGGCATCGCCTGAACTTCGGTGGCCCACGTCCTCCACGCGTCTATCATGTTTTGCCTGGCAGCAGCGTCCTGTGTGGTAGCCTCCTCTCCTTCCTCGCCGTCCCACCCGTTGTGCAGAGGGCCACGCCACGGGCGGTACTTCACAAGGTGGCTGCGGCAGTAGTCGGCGTACTTCGGGCTGGTAGGGCTGTGGGAGAAGATGGGAAGGAAGGAAACGACGCGGTTATTTCGGGTGTGAGTCGTAATCTTCTCCCGCGTTAGCTTGTAGGTAGCGGCGAACGTGCAGTAGTTAATCTCCTCGAGGACCGCGTCCTGCTGGGGCTTTCCTCCATGGATGGGAACCCACGCGTCTTGATCCATGCGACGGGAGTACGCAAGGAGCAGGTCCCGCACTGGCCGAAGTCCCCCGTCGGCCCCGGCGCTCTCAACTTCGACAGAAGTCTGCTCGGTATACACCCTCACGTACTCGACGTTGTGGAGGACGTTGTGGGTCTGTAGGTTGAGGTGCTGAACCTCCTGCACGCCCATGTCTCGCCTCGTCGTCGCCATGTTGAGGACCTTTCGCATGATCGAAGGCAACGTAAGCCTGTCGTCGTCGTCGGCGTCCAGGGTAGCGGCGTGGCGAACAAGGGTCGCGAGCGTTGTCTGTGCGTCCCTGCCCCGAGACTCTCCCTTGGTGGTATACTTGACCATGTACCTCCCGGCCATGCCCATGTCGACGATTGGGGAGAAGTCGACGTTCGAACCCCACCCCAGCAGCTGTGCCACGACGTGCCGGTTGACGCAGGGGTCGAATACACCCTCCCCTTCCTCCCCCTCCCGCCGCGGCAACGCGTTTTGTGGCGTTGCGATGAGCTGCCAGTCGTCGACATTGTCGGTCGGAGGAGTAGTGAGAGGGTGTGCCTCCAGGCCCAACGACTCTTGCCGGGGCTTGGGGAAGCCAAACCGGCAGCGCCCGTTCACAAGGCAGTACCCTCCGTGTCGGGTGTGACGCATGCACGCGTTGACGAGGTTCTTGTACCGCCTTTCGCATTCCCCGACATCG